CATCATGCGTATTAGAAGTTGGCGTTATAGTGGCTCGGTCACCTGGCTCATCGACCTGCGCGCTCCGCCAGTGGCTATTTACTTAGGTAAAGCTTGAACTTGTTAATATACTGGTGGCCCGTGACCATAACTCAAGCGGTTCGCGAGATTGTCACCTCGCAAGAATTTCAATCTAGTCCAATTGTGTAGCGAGATCTCGTTGAATTAGCCGCGATTTGCCAGTTAGCGCACTGCTGCCGTGTGTTCGGTCATTCTTGTCCATAGCAGTCTGCGACGTTGTTGTTTTGCCCGTAATTGCATCAGGTCTGACTGCATATGTTTTTCGCTTTCATTGTCTAATGACTGCTTCCAGCGTGTGTGTGACTTCAATTATAAGTGGTGCTAAAAGGGGGCTGACGGCCTCCCAGACTTACTTGGCGTAAGGATCACTCGCAAAAATTGGGAACTCCCAGTTTTGCCTGTGTGGGCAATCACGCTGAAATTGCGGCAATGTATGTACCGGAGGCGATACTTCATGTCCCCTTTGCACTAAGTACAACAATTCATTAGTAATATGAGATCTGCTGATTATGCTAGGAATAAGGCCGCATAACAACCCCATGCGGTTACTGTCTTGGATGGTAGATTCCAGGGGCTATGGGGCACTCCGGGTAAAGGAAATTTATTTCATAAATCATGGTGTGAAAGAAGACTGTATTTGCTAGCCCTTAAGGGTTTTGTGTATCAGCTTATGTCTCTCACTCACACAATTCTTCCGAGTGCCGTTTACATATCACTGGCAGATAGTAGCAACAGGTGCGGTATTGCTTTGCAAAACCCTTAATGTTTGGAGCGCAAAAATACCTCTATTGTAGTGCAACGACTGCAAGAACTCGCAATTTACTATTTCAGTATAAATTCTGTTATCTTAACATATCATACTTTTTCCATTGTCAGGCCTTGGTGCAATGGCTTTTTTCACCAGATTGTGGACGGGCTATAATCGCCTCTTGGTGAAATACCCCTACAGAGCGCAAGGCCTGTCCACAGGTTGTCCCTCGATCACATTTTTTACACAACTTCTTCTCTAGCCGTCATCATGGGCTGTGGTGACATTATATCACAGAAGATAATTGAACGTCAATCGGAATGGGACATTGTCCGAACTGCTAAGTTCGGCTCGATCGGTCTCCTGTTTGTGGTAGGTCACCCGCTGTTGCATTTCTACCTTTTTCGCCGCATTAGAGGTCCGCACCGCTTTTGAGAGATGACCTACTTCCCACATACAGTGACTTCAGATAAAGAATTTAGTCCTTTTTGTTTCTGAATGTGCTGCTCCTACGGTGCCCGAAGGGGCTGTGCCACCAGCGAGTTACTATTTTAAACAACAGGCGAATAAACGTGCAGCCAATAAATGCGCATCATCAACGTCCACTAGACTAGCAGGCGCTTCGACGTTTTCACTGATTGCATATATGTATTGTATTATTATATATTGCTTTTTTACTCATTTATAAAAGGAAACGGTGGTTACGAGGTCGTCTATTTAAATTTACTTCGGGTCAGATTTAGTTATTTAGTTAGTTTATTATTCAGCTTAATTGCGCAAAAACATACATGAAGCCTCGGATGTGTTTTCTCTCAGTAGCTACACATAATTCACGAAAAACAACGGAAAATCAATGGAAAGTCAGGCTACAGAAAGTATGATTGCGGTTTTACTTTTAATAGCAGTTTTAGAATTGCATCCCTTTAAAAATGAATAAATTTTAGAATAGTTTGCTAAATTACGAAAAAAC